AATTTTTACTGTCTTTCGCTTCCCAACTCTGGATGTCAGCCATTCGATAACCATTCATTTCGATGTTGTTGTGGTACACCATTGAAAAAATCAATTATACATATTTATTCACAACTTTAGCGGTTTCTTCGTTGTTTCAATATTCGAAATAACTAGGGCACTAAATGTACAACGTACAACAACCAGTATGTCTCAATCGATGGACTCTTCCCACCTAACATTCGCAAATGCCTGCAATCCGTGCTATAACATCTAGTCTATTTGGTGAAAATTTGCCGAATATTTTGGAGCGTTTTGCAAAGTGCACCGGTCGCTCAAAAGTTTGGAGCACCCTTTCGAACTCCATAGGTATGAAGCTTTCTGGAGCAAATATTTGGTCAGATTCGTAACAGCATTTTTGTATAAAAGATTCATTTCAAAGATCATAACGATCCTTTGAAAGACAGTGTGCACTTGTGTCTATAGTTCGATCCATCCTCCAACCGTTTCGTCATCCAAGTAGTTCGATCCACCCCGTTAAAAAAATTCATACGCCTCTCATGTTACAATTAACAAATCCAGAAACACGGAGTACTCCAGTAATCTCTCATTCTGAAAATCGGAATTTAATGCTTTAATGCGCTCCATCGAAAGCGGCAACAGGCAATCAAGTTTACAAAGTCCGCATTTCGCGCCGTCTCGTAACTCAATAACAAAAAAAAAAAAAAAAAAAAAAGAAATCGTGGAATGACCCGAAATCGGTAGTGCAAGTTTCCAGGCAATCTGCTCCTTCATCGGACGTTGTCTCGCGTCCAAACTCGAAAGTGTTAAAATCGGATTTCCCCGTTGGCCGTACTTTCCTGGTCGTAATGTGTTCCTCCATATGGAAGGCTCTCCGAGAGCGTAGCCGTAACCCAATAGGCTTCCCGTAGGAAGATCATACTTCGGTACAAAGGCTGATCGCTACATCGCACGCGATCACGGTGCACGTCACGGAAACTGACGATCTTCATAGCACCATTTGCTCCTCGCTCGTTCCCCTCCACGCTTGTATCGCGCTCCTCTTTTTCAACGAAGTGCATGTCTCAAACGTACTTTCATCGATATCACCGGGGGGACGAACCCCTGGTGTCGACCAATCCCCGTTTCGCACGACTTCACCGGAACGCGAATGACGACTGTCGAGCCAAGGTACCGAGGGGGCAATAGGGGATACCCAAGAAAGGGTTCACGCAGATTTTAATGAAGGTTTGCGGATTTGGTAGGAATCTGTGGAGTCTATGGTAGGAGTCTGTGGAGGAATGTGAGCCTTCTAATTGATATTGGAATACCTTTGGATTTCGTGTTTCTTGCTTCACGTAAAAAACAATTAATCACTACGAACAGTAAGATTTTCGAAAATTTTGAATACCTCATATTCATGTGTACCGAAGAGCTCCAATACTTTTAATTAATATTGGAGTGTCTTCGTATTTCATGTTTCTTGCTTCACATAAAAAAAAAATTAAACTCCACGAACAGTAAGAATTTATAAAATTTCAAATACCTCATATTCATGTGTACCAAAGAACTCCAATATTTTTAATTAATATTAAAATTCCTTAAACTTTGATGCTTTACATGGAAAAATCAACCACTACAAGCAGTAAGAATTCAGAAAATCTCGAATGCCTCATATTCATGTCTATACTTTAAAGAGCTCTGATCCTTTTAATTAATATTTGAGTGCCTCCAACCCTTACATGCTTGATGCTTCAGATAAACCATTAAACACTCCAAACAACAAGGGTCTAGAAAATCTGAAAAACCTCAACTCCTCCTTTCAAAATTGATTCTTCCTATCTAGATTTCCAACCACTTCCAAGTGGCCCATTGTCGTGTCTTCTCGAGAGTAGCATCTCCATAATTACTATAACAAACAGTAGCTCCCGTTCTTACGACGCAGCGGGCACACTCTTCCATTCTTTAACCTCGTTCCTCGTAGCCTCACGGTTAATTCGTGCAACTCTGACTTCGATTCATAAAGCAGCTAGGAGCTTCTCGTCGCGCAATGAAAGAACGCAGGGAATTCTTCGGCTCGAATTCCTCGCAAAAGTAGCTCGTAGAGTTTCAATTAGTCCCGTTTTGAAAAAGGTACGCGCGCCCGTCGATGCGTGGAATCGTACTTCACGACGAGTGAATCTTCAGGAGGAAATGAGCCATCCACCGCATTGTATCCGTTTTTCTTTTGTGCGCTGGGGAACAGACATTTCGTTTCGCGACCGGAGGAGGTAGGAAAGGGTTTCGGAAAACCACCACGATGGGTGCCGACAAACAGACGTTTTTATTCGACTCACAGAGGCCCCACATTGTTAAGGGCACTCCAGACGATGAACACTCGAAGTTCATAGCGTTTAAAGGGATGCTCTAGATGTGGCTGAACGTTGCCTCTGTATTTACAATCTATTACTCTGCGTTTCGACGCGTGGCGATTCAACAAAACCTATCGACGGTCTCTATACGATAGTACTCGTTACAAAATAATAATTCATTCGTCGCGAGAGATGTAAGGAAATAAGCCGCGCAAACGATGTAACTAGAATTACGTATCTAAACTTAAGACGTAACTTAATTTTTCTAAAACTAGCCTCACTATCAGAATCGCTTACAATTAATCGAGTACTTTAAAGTAATGTTCTCGATAGCAGGAGATTGTACAAAATCTATTCTGTACATTCAACTTGTTTTTCTATGAAAAAATTACCACGGTTATCGTATATGTGCGAGATACAGAAAAGTTGGCAGGACAGGATGCCTCGGAATCAGCGACACGAATACGAACGGTGATAAAAAGTTGAAAAGAAAGAGGCGTTAATCAGCGTAGGTTCGTGAACTCATCGTGCTTCTTATATTATGGACTTTTTCCAAGCGATACCGCGATATCTGGAGAGTTCAAAGCGTCAACGGCTTCGTAGTTTATACTTCGACGCCTTCGTACCGATATCTTCGCGCGGATTAGATTAATTCTTGGAGGAAGTTATTATTTTCGCGGTGTCAACGCTTATTTCATTAAGTACTCATAAATTCAACACTTCTCGATCCTTCTGTAAAGAACCATTTACTCAGATATGGGCAACGTTTCTTTGAATTATCTGTCACGAATAATAATACAATTCCACCGTTCAAGATGCGTTTCTCGGCAATTCTAAAACACCCTGTACACCATTTTGGACAAAATTACCGATTTGAGTATAGCCACATCAAGTGGTTGGCTTCAGCACCTTTGATATTTCCATTGTTCTCGATTGCACGAGCGAATATTTTCAATACATTCCATTTTGTATTTTCAATTTTATTTCGGGATTATTTAAAGGTCATGCTATTAAAACTCGTTAAGTTTATCTATGTAATGCAACGTCGCGCCAGTAAAAATATACGTATAACAAAAATGTCGATGATCTTGAACTCCGTTAAGAGTGACCCTCGCAAATTTTCAAAAACAGTGGAGATATGTAAGCTGTACAACCGCGACACTTTGTGCATTCGTTTCTCAAGTCTCTAACGCTTTACCCTAAGTTAATACGTTTCTACTGTATAGTTCGTTCGGTCCATTGGCTCATTCTTCGTTGCGATCGCCCGTCTCGCCCACCGCCAGAATTCTCACCATGTCGTTCGAGGACTCGTCGACGTTTTTGTAGGTGACTGTGTCCCTGTTCTTTCGCCTGATGTCCCAGTGACCGATCGGTCGCTTCAGAAGGAAGAACCCTGCCACCAAAACGATCGCCACGACGAGAATCAAAACGCAGGCCCACAATATAGGATAGAACAGCGACGACTTGGTCTCGCACTCCAACTCGTACTTTGGTATCTGGCTCAAGTATACTTTGAAATACCGTGGGGGAGTACGGCACCTGAAAACGTAAAAATACGCAATTAACAATGAAAAAATTCAATGGGATGAGAAGTCCTTTCACGCTTCGTTGCGATGTGTAAAATGTTTTCGACTCAATGCTCGGGTTTTCTTTATAATTATAAAATAAGTCTCGATTCGTTTTTATTACAGTACACTATAGATAAATATAGGTAAATAAATATAGGATACATATATATATATATATATATTATAGTATATACATAATTATTAAATATATTATAATATATATAAATATATTTATATAAATATATATAGGTACCTATATATAAATATAGATAAATAAGTATAGGAAAGCTTGAAGATAGTTTTTATCCTCATTCACATCTTAATCGCTCAACCGAGTCTTAAAGAGTCTCCAAGAGTCTTTTATAGTGATACGATTTGAATTTGAATCGTATTTAAATATTTCTAAGCTTTATTTTAATTTTTCCAAGTATGTAAAGCATTCGAAGTATTTAAATTTGCAGTGGTAGCCAGTCTCACGGCATCAGCAGTGTCATCTCTTAAAGACACGACCAAACTGATTGCCGAGTTACCGACTGTCACATCTATCTAACATCAAAGAAACTCGTTACCATCGAAGAACTCTAAACTTTTCCTCCCATTTCCTTACTTGATATCCCGACTAAATGTCTTGGTCGCGTTCAACGAGACTATCCATTGCATTTTGCAGTCGCAGTTCCAAGGGTTGCTCTCGAAGTTCAAAATCGGCGTTCTCTTTAATACCGGCAGTAAGTTATAATCCAGAGTTTTAAGGGCGCAGTCATGTACCGACAGGCGCTGCAATCGCGGTAGAATAACTTTATCGGTCGGAGACATTTTAATATGCACTAATTTCTTCGAGCCAGCCACGTGCAACGTTTCCAAGTTGTGCAGATTTTCGAATTCGTTGAGTAACAATTCCTTCAGATTTTGCATGTAATTCAACTTCAATTCTTTCAACCCAGGCGCATCGATTTTGTGTATTTCCGAAAGTTGCGTGCTGGATAAGTCGAGCTCTACCAGGCTCTCCGGTAACGACGGAACCGACGAAATGGGGTTCAATGATAAATCCAGGGTGGATAAGTTAGTTAACGTTTTGAATAACTCGGACGTGAACTGTGGCGCTGACACATTGCGCAGGTCCAAGTATCGCAGCGCTTTCAAGTTACAAAACGCTTTGTCGTGTATCCCGTCGTATACCGGATTGTTGGCCAACGAAAGGTATTCCAAAACCTATAAACAATTGAGTAACAATTCAAATTACATGATATTCAATCGAAACGGACTATTTCTTTCGCGTGTTACAAAAGATGAGCAGAATTTTATTCAAATAATTCTAGATAACCTATATTTTCGTGTAACAGAATATGACCGTATAATTTAGATTTTTTATTGAACAAATTAAAAGTTGTCTTATGAAATAAAACAATCTTTCCAATAATGTTTACGTAGAAAAAAATTTCGTTCATCTCAGGTTAGAAAATTGCGAGACAATTACTTTGAAGTGCTCCAGCATCGTTTCGTTGACAATCGATAGTTTGTTCGATGAGAGATCGAGTATCTGGAGCTTCGGGATTCGGTCGTTCAGGGCGTATTCGTCGATGTACATTAGTTGGTTGTGGCTCACGTTTAACACCTGCAAATTATATTCTTCTCTGCAGAGAAAGAAGAATCGTTGGAGGTGATTGTGCGACAGATCCAGTGTTTTGAGGCTCGGAAGATTAGTGGAACAATCGAGGAAGCTGTCGAACTGGTTGTTCCGAAGAATTAAATCGGTGATCTCCGACAGGGACACTTGCGACTGGAGATTCAAGAAGAAGTCCTCCTTCTTCAAGTTTTTGCCTGACAGATCGAGCTGCAACGCCAAAAGTAAGAAAATAAAGAATATTATACGTTAAACAATCCTATCGTATGACATATTACATGCTTATGAACATTTTCGGCTTGAGGGGTTATCGAAAGAAAATTTGTTGAAAATTTGTCAATTTACGATAGAAATTGGTAATAATGTAGGATTATAACTTGCAAAAGGTACACGAGATGACCAAACAATTAGAATTTAATCAGATGATGTTAGGTTAAGCATTTGTGGTGAATATTAGCAAAGAATTCCTGTTTCAAACGAAATATAGTTTTCTCAAGCGTCATTCCCGCGCGGGGTGAGTGGCGCGTAAATATGAATCGTCGCGCGGCCATGATGGACTTTCTTTTCTCCAAGACGAATGAAACTTATGTCTGTTCCTTCATCGTTTTTTCCTCGATAACAATTAGATTTCCACTCTATTAAACGTTTGTTCCAATAACGAGATGGTAAAATTAATATTTCTTCAGCTTGATATCGTGGAGCAATATTTCTCAAACTTCACGTCTGTTAATTGTTTATATTTTAATCTGTTAACAGATACTGTTACACAAAAATTGTCCAACACTTATCGCTGAGTCTCGTGACTTGGCAGATTAAAAAATTAAAAATTATTTAATCAGATTTTAAGCTTTCCAACGTTTTCATTACACAAAACTCTCCCATGGTACTTTTAATCAGGAATGCATCGAAAAATATTTTATTATTCCACTACTCAACACACTTTTCTCTCCTCTGCTAAATTGCGACAACCCCCTCCCCCCCCCCCACCCCAAGGGGGTCCCGCGTGCCCCATTTGAGAAATACCGTCGCTACCACCGCGAACCAGCGATAAATTGAAATCTCTCGATTTGCGTGTCACCGTATGATCCCATCAATCGTTATTCGACAAGATTAATAAGTAAAAGAAAAATTGTAAAAAGCCTACGCGACAGAACCCACCGTCTTCGCCGAGGCTGTCGACAGAATTAAGGCGATAACCGTGATCGTCCCGCACCACATTGTCCAGGTGGTGGTTGATTTATCTTCTATCTTGATAGCCGGATAAACGACGCGATGCAATTTCGATTGCACTCGAAACTGGGCCTAGTCGTTCAACTTATGCTTCTCTCACAACGTTCCGCTGGAATGGCAACGAATTCATCCGCGGCATACTCTGCTCGCGATCCCACTGCCGAATTAAGAGGGGGTCGGGAGGAGCTTCGGCATTCTGATGCACTTGCTCCAGCGACGATTGCGACTTTTTCCTTTCTTTTTTCCCTTCTTTATTTCCCTCCCCGTTTGTTTTCTTCGTCGTTTCGCGTCGGTCAATCCGAGAACGATTCCGACGGGCTTTCTATCTCGCGCCTTAGGTCGATCCAAGCGTTAATTATAATTACATATGATTATGTTCCCCCGCACATCACAAAAATGTAATCTTCGTCCACGATAAAGTCGTTCGCAAATGGAAAAAAACCTGATCCAGATTGATTCTGCAGTACGTAGTCTCAGCACTCTTTCGATCACGTTGCAGCGGGTGCACATTTGACCGTCCAGGGGTCAAACTGTAAAACTGTTGAATTCTTTTATTAATTCTTTTTTTCGATTTTTCAATCTTCTATTCGGTCAATTTTTGACTTCTTTTCGCGAGAAAGACGTTTCGATCGCTCGTGTTCATGGTTCTCTTTAGCTTATTAAATTCTTGAACTGTAATGCAATAAACAAATTCCTTTTTGCGAGAAGAATATGAAGAAAATGAAAGTTTAAGAAAAGGAATACACAAAAATTACGATACACAATTTCTTTATTACATTACAGTCAAAGAATTCAATGACGAATCGAACGAGAAGAAGCATAAATATAAATAATCGAAAAGACTATAACAAATTGCAAAGGCACTTTTAATCCTATCGCACAAACAACAATCTACATATTCATTCACCGCATATTTCAATTAAAAAAGTCATACAAATTTCCCTTTCTCTAAACAATTATCTCCTTCAATTAAAATTCGTCTCTGACCATCTGATTAAGTTTCTATACGCTACAATAATTTAATCGAATGTCCCTCCGCGTTCAAATCAAATCCTTCACCAAGCATTTCTCGTAAATTTTCTTTCGTCAAACTTTTCATCCCGAATTCGAAGGGTCCGTTACCGTGTTCTCTTTAACTTTCTGGTTCACCGTTTCGAGTGCCTCTCGTTAAGTTTTGCGCACACTTCCATCGAACACACTTGCATCGTTAGTACTTTACACAAGGAACATGTACAGCTCACTGACGATCGTTCAAACGAAAAGGAAATTTCACCGAATGTCCTTTCTTTAATTAATCTGTTCTCGGTTAATTTAAAATCTCAGAGAGGCTAACGCGCCTCTTTCCAGATATGGCGCGATAAAACGTCCCCTGATCCCTGTGCGCGGTTCTGGTTTGTGTTCGCCTTCTGTCTCTTTCTTTTTTTGAAACTCAATCGATTTAATCGTCGACGATTTTTTCAATTAGTTTATATTCGCACGATGATATCGCGCCACGTCGTTGATCTCGCGTTCGCGTCGTAACTCCGCGGGCATTAACCACTCGGCTTGACTTTTAATCTGCGTTCCCGCGGGCCACGAGCGTCTATTTAAATCTGCAGACTACACAACTACACTTCGATAACGGGGCTGTAATAGGGTTATTAACTTGGGAATAATGCAAACTTGGGGAAAAAAGAAATCCACGTTACTCCTGAGCTAAAAGCAATTCTGCAATTACGTTAAATAGAAAATATACAGTTAAATTCGTTTAATAGAGCAAGCTTTATAATGCAATTTCAAAAATACCGTTTGGACCGCGATAAGTTGCACCTCCTGAGATTCCAAGCCAAGTGGCTAATCACTAGTAAACAGAAGAGACATGGTGCACCAGTACCTCGCACTTCGCTCAAAGAGATACGCGACAAATTATGCCACTGTCGACGGAAACGTTGATATGTATCAACGAACTTCCATGCACGGGAAGATAAAAGTTCAGTTGACAACGATAACGCCCGCGCCACGCGCCTATAGTCGATCCGAGAGAGGAATCTGCTTAGGCCTCCCGCCATTCGTAGCGATACAGGAAATTCTTTCACACTTTGCTTTGTGAAAAGATTGATAAGTGATTTATGCGATCAACCACATCACAAGTTGTGTCGAAACTAGGTCAAATAGTCTTTATTTAAAACCTAACATAGTGTCATTAGATAGAATTTTCACAACATGCATTGTTATAGAAGTCATATAGAAAATAACAAAGCTTGTGGCACCAAGCATCATTCTTTCTTCGACTAGACTATAGTTATGATAACACTCTAATATGCGTTTTACTATAAATAGTACAATGTTGATTATCATTTGTCGCGAGGATGCACAGTAATTTATGTATCTGTTTCTTTTGTGTTTGTAATTACTTTCTTTATCTGGACACTATCGTATGTTTTGCTTTTAAAGACAAAATTGAATAAATATAAGATCGAATGTTGTTCTTGCGAAAGCTTAACGCGCAAGTATTTTCGAAGGGATATTGTTGAACTCAATTTTATTGATAGGCACTGATATTGCGTCAGCAGCTTAGTTTTTTATTATTGCAAGATTAATTACAGCGGAGAAACGTGTGATTATTGGTCGAGGAAAGTCAGTTGCTTGAAAATATTATAAAAAAAGGAAAAAAAAAAAACAGGTCGATTATCAAACATTTATTCACGGAATTGTATCTCATTTTCGACTTTAGTGGATGGTGGCTAACAAGAGGTGTGATATATAGTAACAGATATTTTATTATTCTTAATACGAGTATGATAACAGTGGCAAGATGGTCGTTCATTTTTTTGGAGTTTGAGGTGTGCTCGTTGCTTTGAACACCAATGGATTCGAGACTCGGAATATACTTGGTAACATCGTGGCTAGAGTACCAAACACTTCTTCGGACATCCCCTATAAAAGAGTACGATACTTTAGACTACAGCAATTCTCGAATATAAATCTGTAGCGACAAAGAAAATTAATTTACCTTCGGCACGAGAAACTGCAGATTCTTCAGTTCTGCGCCGCCCCAAGATGACATTTCTATCATGAACCCTTTCACGCACTTGAAAACGAGCTCTGCTCTTTTCGTGCACCATGCCACGGTCATATCCTGTAATGTTGATGATTACTTTATGGTGAAAGATTACAAAGAAATAAAAATACTGTACCTCGGACATTTCGTGTACGAGGAGCACGGGGATGGTTAACGTGGTCACATCATTGCAGCAAGCAGTTTTCAAAATGTTTCTCAATCCCAAGATGACGGGGTGTCTCGAATTGATATCACCTGTAATTTATGTAAAAATTCTTATTGAAGCAAATAATCGATATACATCCAAGGAAATGTTGAAAACTTACCAGACCTCAATGAGTCATTCACTACCATGTGAAAAATTACATGGACTTGGGCCAAGTTTGAGTGCCTCGTGATGTAAACGTCGCCCGTTTGTAAGCTCTTGCTAGTCGTTGACTTTTTCGCCTGCAAATAACACGTAATCAGAGTAACCTTGAACACATAGCAGGTGTTAACCTCTATTACTTCGTGACCCTAATCTGCCTACATGTGAGTCGTTTCCTTTGTGATGCGCTTGCCTCCAGGCAACAGCATCCTTTACGTCATCTCGAATCTTTTCCAATTGTTCATCGATCGGTGGAAAATGGAACTCGGTCGTCAACTGGCATATCGAGCATAATTCTAAGAAATTTCCGTATTTATAATTAACATTAGTCATATACTCGTCACTTACAGACAGTGTAAGAAATATTCGTACAGCAACCCATTTAAAATAAATGGTTCCTGTACGAATACTTATCACACTTACTGTATATATTAACTACCTTTTGTCATGCCCGAATAACTTCCTAAATGATTGTCACTCAGCAGTACCAATCCGCACAAGTCGTTAGAGTACAATCCTAAAGCAGTCTGCAATCTTTGTGGGGTGGGATCCATTCTATTTCGTAAGAGAAAACATTTTTCCTTAATTCACTTCCGAAAAATTACCATGACATTATTTCAATTGACCCACCCTGACTCGCTCTTCTTTATTCTACAAAAGTCTAATACATCGCCGGTCAGTATACGTATATTGTGCATTTGCTTCATCTGGGAGCCTAAATGTATAGTGAAACTTTCCTCCAAGATTGGATAGTCCGCTGTATTTTTGTCCTCGCTGTGAACAAAATTGTCTAACGCCGGTCGAATTGACGGCATAGACACCATCGGAGAACCCCTAATAATTCATAATTATAAAGATGATTAATTTCGTTTGCGTGGTTGACGATTCGTTTGAGTAAACTTACACTGGAGTTGGTAGCATGTTTGTTTGCTGTTCTTCCAATAATCTCATAATCCAATTACGATATTGACGCCTTTGTTCTAATTTCAAGGCGTCGACTCTTGATCCCCAGTGACCTTGCAATAAACTTTGTTCCTCGAAGTGTCGTCCCGCCATCTCGTTTATAGATTTTTCGGTGGACCCAGCCTCGAGAGTTTCGACAGCGACACGCATTTCATCGGTTTGCCTGCAATTTATTTTTTCGATGTTTCTCGGTTTCTTTTCCTCTTGTAAGTTCTTACGATAATCGACGGGTTAATTAATCGAGCATTAAAACAGATAAAGAGTGTCGGCTACATTCACAACTTGTGGTCAAGTCAAATGATAAAAGCGTATTAGTTGCAAAAATTAATCTGTTGTTTTACGATCGAATTATAAAAACGAACGTTGATGTTCAATTGTAATCTTCGTTGTATTGAGGCTACTGATCATTTGCAGAGTAAGGTCAATGGAAGCAATAATTTGTGTTACACACATTACTATGCAACAAATATTATTATGTGGAACTGGACCTTCCTTTTCTACTATGATACAAGGAGGAGCAAAATGTGAGAAAGAAGCAAAGCATTCTGTTATGCTGTAGCAGAGTATAAAGATCACATGATATCAAGTATACACTACAATCTTAATACTAACTTTTGTGTGAGTTGGTCATAATGTGTGTCTCTCATCTGAATTACTTCAGTAACTTCTCTTCCAAATTTATGTTCTGCTTGCAAAATAGGTTCTAATGATGGAGAATGCACCAATCTATGATATGCAGTAGCAAAGAGTTCTTCATCAGTTGTTCCAATTGGATCAGCATATTCCACTGTTTGTTGCTTGTAAATTTTTTCCCAACTTTTTATTATTTCCTCAATATCTAAGTTTCCCAATTGAGCACTTTCAAGAGCCTTCTCTGCTTTTTCATCATGGTATTGTAATGTCAGCTCTTTAATAGTATGCTCTAGTGATTTCAGTAAATCTGATTCAACATAACATGGTAACTTGAATGATGACATTAAACGGTGCATGAGTTCTTTGATAGAACCACGATATGGAATTTTTAATGGTACTTCCAATATGTACTCCTGATTTGTTGTACATGTTGGAAATTTATATATAAATGTTTTCTCCACATACTCTTCTTCAGGCATATTCATATCTTTTACAACAGCTTTTCATTATATGTGGTAATCCATATATCTGTTTTTGGAAAAACATAATAATCATTAGTTTCAAAATGTAAGAAATAAGTAACATAACTAAACCAAAAAATTATATCGTATCATTTATGTAGCTATTGTGATACGAAGAAAGGTCAATGATATTTTTTTTTAGTCAACAATATATTCCAAGGGTCAGCTTTCACAACATTTAGGTCGTAAGGTCAATGATAAATTACAAAAGCACCTCTGATTGGATTTTTTTATCTCTGCTCTTGTGTGTATAATTATTTTCATGTATTAATTGTAATGACTTCAGATTTATCTCCTAGATAAACTTGGCTACCATAAAAAAATACAAATTTATAATCACCTTTTATAAAACATTGCTTTAGAATTTAAAAATTCGATATGTGCAGATACAACAATTTTTGTCGAATATTTTTATTTTCGTAATTTAAAGTCCAATTTAAAATACATTACTTGTTGTTTACAATTTTTGTTATCAACATGTGAGGGCGCTAGTATGAAACTATGAAGATCACAGCTGTGTTTATAAATTATTGAGTTGAGAAATGTATTGTCGAACAAATGAATGATAATGTTACACTTACATTTCAATCTTTTGGAACGTGAAATGAATCTTGCAAATATACGTACTTGTACGTACAAGTATTATCTCGAATTGATGTAATTATTATACTGTTTACATTCACTGTCCAACTTCAAGGTTATAGTTATAGATTAATTGTATATTCATGACTAACGATTCGTGTCTTGTTAAGTCATATGCTGGCATGTACAGACGTTTCTTCTGATTGTTTTTCACACAAATATTTTACACTGACACATAGGGTACGCATGACAATGGCAATATATAAAAAGGTTTAACGCCCCCTTGTTATTTAATCAACAGTTTCTCCAACATAAATACTTTCAACTCCGATATATTATATTCCTTTCTTTATCAATTATCTTGTCTGTCTGTAGATCGTAGATTTTTCTCCTATTGTTTTTATCCAGTATTTTAATTTATACTTTACACAGTGTTGTTTATTTTCATCGTATATTTCAAATAATATATTTGTACGTTGGCTGCATTGCAGTCGGTCAAATTGTCGGCACTATTTGAGACGAAGTTTTGGAGGTAATAAGTTTTTAAGTAATAAATCATCGTTTATAACATGGCTGAGGACAAGAATCAAAACATTGAATTGACAGATCACGAAGCAGAGTTGTATGACAGACAAATCCGTTTGTGGGGTTTAGATTCACAGAAACGGTAAATATATTAGTTCCTAACCTATAAAGGCTAACCTACAAAGTCTAAACAACAAATGGTTCGCTATTATTTCAATCGTTTTGAATGAATATGATCACTGTTGTATAATATAAAATAATTACAGCTTACGAGCAGCCAAAGTATTATTAATAGGCTTAAATGGTTTTGGAGCAGAAGTAGCAAAAAATATTATTCTGGCAGGTGTGGAAGCAGTTACATTTTTAGATCATAGAAATGTAACAGTTGAGGATCGGTGCTCTCAATTTTTAACACCTAGAGATACATTAGGAAAAAATGTAAGTAAATAGTTGATATAATAGAGACTTATCAAATATAGTGTCCTTGCAAGGTTATGTTTATAGAGGGCCGAAGCATCTTTACAAAGAGCCAAAAATTTAAATCATATGGTTAATATTGAAGCTGACACATCTAAGGTAGAGGATAAGCCAGATGCATATTTCTGTAATTTTGATGTTGTTTGTGCATCAGAATGTACCATTACACAAATGAAGAGAATTAACAAAATATGTAGAAAGCATAATGTGAAATTCTTTGCTGGTGATGTATGGGGAACTTTTGGCTATACTTTTGCTGATTTAAAAGTCCATGAATATGCAGAGTAAGTGGAGTAACATTTTATATTAATCCTTTTGCTGTGCTGTGAATAGTTTCAAGCTTAGGAAAGTATTTGCTTCTGATTTGAGATCCATTTGATAAAGAGCTTCATGCCCAGATTTTTTAAACTAAGCCACATTTATAGAACCATCTACGTACATATAGTTTATTCACAGTGAAAGAGTTAAAGGATTGTTAGACTAGTTTAAATAATTCCACAAAATAGGTTATAATCCTGTTTTGCAGAGACATAGTACAAACCAAAAAGATACAACTCTCAGAGAGCGGTGAGCCAATGGACAAAGAGAAGTTTGAAAATATAACTGTGACAGAGAAACGTAAAGATATATTTGTGCCTTTTGAATCAATTTTAAATGTCCCAAAGACTTCCATTCCTAAAGAATCAGAAATGTATTATATGATGTTAAGTAAGTGTTCAAGCAAGACGTTTTAACAACATGTGTTGAATACTTTTACAAAGTATATTTTCATGTTTAGTAATGCTCAATTATCGTGAAAAATACAACAAAGATCCATCACCCAGCGAAAGAGGTTCCGAGAATTTCATAGCAGAGGCTACAGAAATCATAAAAAAATACGATCTCGGAGATAAACTAAATCCTTTCGTTGAGTATGTATTAAATACTAATGATTCGATGCATTTGAGTCTTCAGATGTATGTAATAAAATCTATAAAATTTGTCGATTCAGGGGTGACGTATACGCACAAGTCAGCCCAGCATGCGCTATCGTCGGCGGTATTATGGGCCAAGAAATAATTAAAGCGGTCTCACAAAAGGGCGCTGTGAATAATAATTTATTTATCTTCAACCCAGACACATTGTGTGGAAAGATTTTGAAACTGGGTCAGTAACGTTAACTTTACGCGACGGTATGTTTGAACGTTTCTGTCTACTGTGGTCGTCATAATTGTTGTTTTCACCATTTTTCATTCCATGTTTTTGCTACAAAACTTTAATAAATGTGTGTCCATGAAAAAAACACAACCGATATAACTGTGTTTAATTGAAACTATGTTCCCTTATATGTTGATATTTAATCAAAATTGTCTTCCTAACTATTTAATCCTAAGTTTCGCAATACCAAAAACTGGTACATCAGAAGTTATACATGTTTATCATGGGAAAGAATATATCTTGAGACTTTCCCAGCATTCGGAAAACAATATTTCGTTCCGACTTATCGCACTCTTGCTCGCGTCCCAGCTTCAAAACTGAAAAAAAAAGAATTCCGTAGCTCGAGTTTTGAAGCTACCTAGCTCCCACTCGCAATATCGCACTTATACTTTCTTACGTGTGCTTGGTAGATGTTCTTCTTTCCAAGGATGTGAATGTTAAATGTGCACACACCGTTGGTGAATGTTTCGCAGCAGCTCACGCACGCCGTAAGATACTTCCGCCGAGCGTTTCAGAATCTGGAATAGGTTCGTCGTCGTACGTGGAAATATGACTCACTTTCCCGGCCAATTTGAGAGACCCGCTTTGTGGATTTTTTCCGTGCCCTTTCGTGCGGAAAAACGGCGGCCGGGAAACGTGAAATGGAAATTGAAAAATTGGAAAAGGGGGAGCAAATTGGAGCGCGGCTCGTTATGCTTTATCGGCGCGCCGATATTACCCACGTTCGCAACAATTTCTTTTTTTATGCTTTGCATTATTTAAACGTCGCGTTTGCACCCTACTCGTGTACGATGTCGTCGTTTCTCCCTGTTAAAATTTAATCGACTTTGCTCAACAAGAACCGCGCTGACAATCCCACTGTAATTGTCGTCGTAACTATACACGTAACGAGTACTTGTATTATTTACCTTTTATTATAGTTTAATATATTTTTCATGGTTTATTTTAAATAGTATAAAATCAATTACGATTAGGATGTTTGCACGCTGAGGTTGGTCCTACATGCTAATAATTCAGATCCACGTGTCGCATAGTTTCAGTGTTTCTCGCCGCCTCTCAATTATTTAACCCCACCTGTTCGTTCCTTCACCTCTATTTTCTCGATTCACGCGATTGCTCGTGGATTCTAATGGCGTATTTCACCGTAACGCCGTAAAGAGGGCCGATAAGCGTCGGAAACGGTGCATTCCCGATGCAAAGTCATCGGATAGCGGCGTCGTTCCATCGCGTAGATAGCAGTAGAGCGTCGGCTTTATCCGCGACGCATCGATACCTGACGCATAGCCACCCAGGCTATTTATTCGATTTTCAACCGAGAATTATGATGTCTCATCTGTTTCCCCTGACACAATATCATTACCTATAGCGTTATCGCGCACAGCCTCGTGTTTACTATTGGACGCATTTGAAAGCACACATCGTGTTCGTTATATCGAAAACAGATATTATACAATAGAAGCAAGCAGAGTTCATTTAGTTAACAAACGTTTTGACTTCTAAGGCAGTTTTGAATTACATTTAAAACTTTACGTTTGCTTTGAATAACAAAATAATATAAAATTTCACACAATCTTCTACTACATTTTCTTCCTTAAACAAATACGTGTAATTTTATATTGCTTTTAGATTTATTTTAAGAAATATTTCAATAGAGGGTTGAATAGATTCGAATGTCTCGGTTGGATTAAGAGGTTGATCGATTCGCTGAAAATCGGTTAGTTCTTGATACAAATCGGTACGATTGTTATCGATGTCGTGACACGGTTTTATCGCGGGAACAACGTTCGTGTATCAGCACCATAGAAATGCACACAAGTTGCACTAAAATATGATCGAGCGGTGCAATAATTTACTTCACCCCGAATTTGCTACGACTACTGTCACGGTTCCGCGTGTACATTCACTGAATCAATACGACACGTACTTACGCCTCTAGGAATGTTAGACTTGGTATGCAGTTGATACAAAAGGTTTGGTTTCCTAATGAAACTTTTCCAAGAGGGTTTCCTGGAGATGATAGGAATATTAAGAATTTTCCACAATGTTTTTCAAGATTTTTCAAGTTCCTTTCAATTAGGAAAATTTAAGGATACCTTGTGTTCTTTTTCATTTTTATTAGTTACATGGTTGCTTTTGTTATTACATCACATTATTACAATATATTACATGATTATGTAGACATTTTGCCGTGAGAAAAGTAAGACAATCACGGGACAAACCAACCGACCGAATGCAACCGGCCGAATGCAGAATTTCAAATACGGAAATTGCATGGTAAAATGGGACTCATGTTTCAGCGAGAAGGAATTTTTGTTAACTTTGTTATTTAACGAGATATGATGGTCAAGTTTCGTTTATCAAATGGAACTATATATTTCTTTGTATACCATGCGATAGTACTTTTCAAGACAAATTCATGAAGCTTTAATGTAATTAACCGATTTTTATTAGTTTTCAAGCTATAATGCTTCAAAGTTTGCTAATTTTCAAGGAAAAAACTCGGTTCGACCCCGGGCGGTCCTATTGAAACAGTAAGCACTATGCGGTTCTTGAAATCGATACGGAGGAAAATGGGAAGAATCTCAATATTCTGGGGCTAGAATCCCAAGCGAGATCCTCCGTATCGCTTTCAAGAACCGCATGGTGCTTACTGCATGTTTTTTCCTTGAAAATTAGCAAACTTTGAAGCATTATAGCTTGAAATCTAATAAAAATCGGTTAATTACATTAAAGCTTCATGAATTTGTCTTGAAAAGTACTATCGCATAGTATACAAAGAAATATATAGTTCCATTTGATAAACGAAACTTGACCATCATATCTCGTTAAATAACAAAGTTAACAAAAATTCCATCTCGCTGAAACATGCGCCCCATTTTACCATGCAATTTCCATATTTGAAATTTTGCATTCGGGCGATAGTTTTGGAGTTAGAGGTCCGTATCACTTAGGCTGGGACACCCTGTTGACATGGAGGAGGAATGCCAGCACCGAAAGTGTGTCCAAAGTCGGTATGAGAGAGAAAGGTACAGAATGATATTTGTCCAAATACATTATGAATACTATATTTCATATACATTTATGCTATATTTTGTTTACAACTAGAGATTGGAAGAATGACATTTGACATACTTTTCTACGGCCAGGCGCGCTGTCTCAGGGCTACAGTGTTGCGGAAAAATGCGCCGTATTTAGAAGCTTAAAGAAAACTTTTCTAACTGTAATGAAGATTAAGCAGCTTATTATTATTTATTTTAGCTGTCAGTTAATTTATCTTCTCAGCCAATAAATTATCTAGTCTGATCGCATCACGGAATTAGAAACTGAATTGTATCGAAGTAGAAAAACAAAGCAATGAAACATTGCATTGAGGAGCAATGTGCAAAGAACATTATGCCACTAAGCGCTATTATCTTTTCAGTTAATACATGATTATACTCCGTGAGTACTATGTGACATTAATATTCATTGATTATACATACATTCATTAATT